TCTGCTGCAGTAGTGTTTGTTAGGGGTGCCGCCGATGTCGTTAATGTAGAAGCCTTAGGCGTTAAAGTAGTTTCTGTAGTTGCTGAACTCGATACTGTACTGGATTGCAGTGTGCTTGTCGATTCGAGAGGTGCAGTTGTATGGGTTTCTGCTGCAGTAGTGTTTGTTAGGGGTGCCGCCGATGTCGTTAATGTAGAAGCCTTAGGCGTTAAAGTAGTTTCTGTAGTTGCTGAACCCGATACTGTACTGGATAGCAGTGTGCTTGTGGATTCGAGCAATGCACTTGTCGAGGCCTGTGCTGTAGTGGTGTTTGTCAGGAATGCCGTCATCGAGGTCGATAATGCGGTCACCGAAGGGGTTTCTGTAGATGTCGGTACTGTACTGAAGCTTATTGGAACATAGCTCGTAGAAGTCAAAGCAGGCTGTGTAGCCGTCGACACCGGTACTGTACTGGGACTCGTCGGAAATTCGCTGATCGGAGTCGAAGCAGGCTGCTCAGTTATCACAGTCGCTGCAGTAGAGCTGTTTGTGAGAACTGCAGCCGTCGAAGTCGTCAACGTAGCTGTTGAGATGGATGTTGTTGTTGTCAAGGCCTGTGCTGTAGCAGTGCTCGCTAGTGCTGTTGCGGGTGACGTTGTCGGTGCCGTTGTCGATGGAGAATGTACTGTAGTGGCATTCACGGGGGCTGTGACTAACGATGTCAGTACTGATGTTGTTGATACTGGTACCACTTTTGTCGGTGTTGCCAAAGTCGCTGTGCGTGTTGGAGCTGTACTCGCTGAAGATGGCAATGACGTCGTCGATGTGTGTAATGCCACCGTACTTGTTGGAGCTTTTGTAGTCGTCTTCTCGGCTTCGTGACCTTAAGAAAAAGCAATTATATAATAGCTCTTGTTCCCCATGTTGAGGAGAAATTGTGAACTTATTATTTTATTTTAGTGAAGTTGCTTTTATTAGGTTGTTCTTCCTATTCGCTGCGCATTTCGACACTTTGGTCTGTTTGAGAGCTTTCACTTCTAATAGGCACAACGCTACAATCACGTTAAGAGTCAAATCAAGTCAATGGGATGCGGCCGTTTGTAGGGTAATGGATGAACATCACTCTCTCACAATGACCAATGCTAGTGGCAGTAAGTAAAATCATTGTTTTGAAATGACTTCATTATTTAACCTTTGCCCCTCGCAGGCATTCTAGTGACCAACCACCGTGAAGCCATGACGTTTCTCATTCGGACTAACATCTCTGCAGGATGCGAAAGCGACGTTAGCTTAATGGAGCAACACTAGAGCTGTGCGGTGTACTTGACTGTAGTCTGGCCAGATCCTACAAAAAAATGCACGTCGCCTTCATGATGTGTGGTCGGAGCGTTATCCTCGAGAAAAACGATACTTTTCCACTTCGTGTCCTTCTTTCACAATTTCTAGGGATGATACCCCCCGCTCCCTAAGTATCGCACTCATTGCTGATTTTTAGAGCACTTCGCAAAAGCACACATTGTTGGTCAAGGAGTCCCTCCTTTTTAGAGCACAGGGTTGATTTGGACTGGACCCTGCATTCACATTCAGTGAATATCGACTTGTAGGGATCTATTTGTGCTTTCAAACCAGAAATTCTTTTAGTAGTGAAGAGTGTGACGAACCCTACTCCATTCATATCGAATGTGGTACCACAGTGTACAGAAACCTAACACGTACTTGATAATCGTGGAAGCATACGTTTACCCTCTATCCCATAGTGCAGGGAATTCTCATCCAGACTGAGTCAAACTGAGGTCGATCATCATAGCTCAGCGACTGTACATTATGGTTATTCGTACAAGTTATGGGATGTCAAAGGAATGTGGCGATGCCACACCATATTCGGTGGTGGTACTGCTTTGACATGTGCTAAGTCAGAGCTGCGATTTTTAGGCTTCCTATAC